CTCATACCAGCCTAAGGGCTTCCCGTAGGAGGGTCTGGAAAGGGAAAATGTCACAGATGACAAGGAGAAGCCAGAAAAGGAAAAGAGAAGCAGAGTCTACTGCTCCTTCTTTTCGTCTCACTCCTTCTTGACACAACGCCAGGAGGATCTGAAAAACAAAACGTGTCAAATCGCAAAACAGTAAATAATCTTTACATCTTAAATATTAGAGCAAATATCTGAACCTAAAACCTAAACTTTACCCATGTGACAGCGAAGAGGACTGGGTTTGTGTAGTGTACAGCAGAATTTTTCTCTGCTGAGCTGTTTCTACCAAAGTCTTCTACTAATGTGACAATCAGGCCTCCAATGGCCGTCAGAAACAGCAGAAACACGACAAGCTGAGGAGGGAAGAGAAAGATCAGACTGATTGTTAAAACGTTTCCATCTCAGCATCAAATACTGAAAGAATCAGAGTGTTTTAATTGTACAATACCTGTTTGCAGAGGTAGAGCTTCGTCCGACGTTTTGTATTCACTTGTGATCTTTTACATAAAGACATGAGGTTCCATGGAGCGCTCAGCCAGAGGAAGCCCAGAGGGATCCAGACCAGAACTGTCTGTTCCAGACATACTGGGAGGTCAGGGTCCTCTCTCTCCAAATAGGACGCATTCTGAGGGACAAACACAAATATGTACACACACGCATCATAAACAGGTATCAGAATAATTGTAATAATCAGACTCGGCTTTACTGGCCAAGCACGTGCACACAAACAAACTTAGACTTTGGTCACTTGTTCTCAGTGTCAGATAATTTAAAATAGAAATATATAAAACTGGTGAGTGGTGTGGGGAGTTTTTGTTGTTTTCTTTTTTTTCATTTGAAAATATGTGCAGCTGTATAGTGTTTTTAAAAGAACACTTTATAGTGTTTTATTTCAGTCACATGTTCACCATGTGCACACAGGGGTAAAGTATAACCTCTGTTACACTTTGTACTAGTTAACTTAACTAGTACATGATAATCAACTAGTACCTAGAGTACTAATTCACTCTAATCAACTCTTAAGACTAGGTGTCTTAAAAGTTGGAAACACTGACACCAAGCTGAAGAACCTGAAGAAAATTTCACGATGTTTTATGCCTAATTAAACATTTTAATAATGAGAAACTTTAAATATAGAATCTGTCATTTTTGTAATTATTGGGTTGTGTTTGGGAAGATAAACATCAGAGATTGCAGATCAGATATGTTTATGCATCAAAGCTAAATCACCAGACTCATCTTGAGACAGAAAGAGCTTAACTACACTTTTAAAGAACATCAACAGTTAAACCCACCCAAAAGACTGACCCGCAGTACTCCTCCAGAAACGCAGCACACATCGTCTGCTGTGTCGGCTTCACTCACGGGCGATGATTTGACGACCAGGCGCCTTGTGCCCTCTGCTCCACTGCAGACACGACTATTCTCCTCTGTCCACCCATGGTGCAAAGACAATTGCAGGATGTGGCTGTTGGGGACTTTGATCCTGGATCCTTGAAGCATAAACCAAGTCTCTGCAACTTCTTTATGAAGAGAATATACAAGTTCAAAAATGACACTGAAAAACAGTAAAAACAAACAAATTTGTGTTTAGAAAAAGTGGTGCAGGGCACCTCTCTCTGATTCCGTTTTCGTTTTCCTCCATGTGAACGAGTCTAGAACGACACATATTTTTCAAAAGCCAAATGTAGTCAAGTTCTCAACTGACATGTTTATGACAGCTCTGTCGAGATGTTTTTAAAGTCACCAATAACATATCTGCAGCTCACAAAAAGATGTGTGAAAGTCAGGGGGTGGGATTGTTTGCATGAGCCTCCTACGTTATCTATTTTTTGTTTTAACTTGAGCAAGGCTAGGGTTGGACTTAGATCCACAGTGTACACTGACTGAGCATTTCTATTCTAGCAAAAGTGAGACAAATGAGATTAAACTTTCATTATTTGGGAGGAGAAGGCTAAAGAAGATTTTGTAATGTGCAATGCAGAGTTCAAAGCACACTAAAAGACTCGGTGCAAAGCTGCTGTGTTAGTTTAAGTTTACTCACTTTGTGTTACCAAAGGAAACTGTATTACAACTTGGCTGCTATAGCTTTAATAATGATCAGGCATTTCGCTTAATGAGCTATCCGGTTTACTAACATCTCTGCAAAATAAATGCAAGTGCATTGCACAAAAGTAGAAAAGCTTTTTGCACAGTGTGTTTATTTAATTTGACTAGCCTTAATATCAAAATAGCATATTACTTAGATTTATTTGTTTCCTGGCACAATAAACAAACCCAAGCTCTCATCCTCACTCTGAGAAAAGTTTAACAATAACAGAATGAGGCGCAAACAGGTGTGCTTGAAGGGGTAACCTTTGAGGTTTTCAGACAGGAGCACTATACCAAATGTCAAGTGGTGGTAGCGTCATGCTGAGTGCATGTCGTTGCCAGCTGTTTTGGTGCATTGCACAAATGGATGCAATAATGAAGATGGAGAATTACCTCAAAATTCTTTCTCCTCATCTCCTGAAAAACCACAAGCTTTTTCCAAACTTGAGGATATAAGGGCGTCCCAACAGGACAACAATCCCAAATACATCACCTTTGAAATGCATAAAGGAGGTAAACCGCTAGCTTCTGAAATGGTCCCAACCACATTGTGGACTACAACATAAATGTGAGGTCGGTGTCGTGAACATGTGACATACCTGGTCAAACCTCCAGTCAGTTGAGACCGATGGCAACTCACATCGAGTCACGATCTGCTGGATGCTTCTTCCTGTTAAAAGTGAGTTCATTTACAGTCACCTGCTCTGTATGAGGTATTGCTGCAAGATTAGTGACTTTATGTAACTGTTGAATGTTTTTAAACCTTTTTAGTAATTGGAAGAAAGAACTGAACCACACTACATTGCATTATAACTATGGCTGAGATGTAATGTATTTATAATTGGATTTATTTAATTATCCTAATGTCCAATAAATTAGAAAATGCTCTGGTAAGACCATTTATTAAGTATGCTTTCCAATAAGCCCATATTTCTGTATTAAAAATTGTAGTATTGGTTTAATAGCTGTTAGCAAAAAAAAACAAAACATAAAGGCTTCAAAACATCAGTCTGTAATTAGTCTGTATAACATGTTTTACTTAGTAAAAAAAAAATATCAGGCTGAGTTAATTTATGCTGAAGACCTTGGTAATGCATGCTAACAGACATATCCAAATAATGGTGGGTGTATTTGAGTCTGCAGTCACAATTTTGATCTTGTGGGGAAAACAAAAACTACATTTTACAGTCATTACACTTACATTTGCAGTCCATCCTGAAAAAAAAAAACAATGGTTCAGATAAACAACTAAAAGCCCCAAATTCATATAATTTTCATGTCCCTGCTAGTTAGCTGTAAACCTCTGACCGCCAAGATAATTGAAAATAAATGTGCAGAAAATCGGAATTGTTTTGGTCTGCAAAACTGTGTAGTAAACTAAAAGCATCTTGCATTCCTAGATTCAGAACATCATCATTCGACAATAATTATAAATAAAAGTAATCTATATGCCCGTCTTCGTTAGCTTTACTTTGACATCTGCAATTGCCAACATGTAATCTGACAAATTGATACTTAATGCTACAAATGAAATCTGCACAAACTGACGGGACATTTGACCTGAAGCTTCAATTTGTGATCACAGCAGCAGTGGCAATTTAAAAAAATCCTGTTTGAAGAACAAACACATCTTCATACTTTCAACTTTTCAAGTTCTCTGACAGCTTCTTCCTTATGATGGTGGAGCTGCTGGGAGAAACCAAACCTGTCAACAAGTTTAACTCAAAAATATTTTTAATCGATTGATTTTTATCAGACATCTTGCGGGGCTGAAATTCTGACTGGTTGTAGATGCTGAACTCCTGACATCACTTAATGCATGTAATGCGTTTTTCAGGATGTTTTATTGTTAATTGTTGTTCCGCATATGATTAACACACTTGATTTCTTTGGAAGTAAGAAAAATTAGTAAAACAGTATAGAATCAAACGCTTATTTCCCAGTTTTATATGACTCTACCCAAATAAACAATGAGAGACATCCAAATCCAAATCACCAACATTGTTGTGTTGAACTGAATTTAGAAATAAGCTGGTCATTCTCTTGCTGCACAACTGAGGTCAGAAGCAACCTTTCTGCAGTGGGAGCTTCCTGTGGTCTTCATGGACCGTGTGGTAGGACCTTCAAAGGTTAAACTACTCATAAATACTGCTCAAATACGATGCGGTTCATTTAAAGGTAAATAGCTTGATAACATGTACTGATTTCATAAATAATGGCAGTGAAGAAAATAAAAGGCCCTGAAATGGCCTTTTCAGGACCATTTCAGGCCCTGAAATATTGCAAACTCATATTGCTAATGAGTTTGCAATATTTTCTCCGAAGCCTTCATTTTCACTCTGTCACCCTGTTCACCAACCAGTAAACGGGGCTTTTAATTGCCCTGTTGCCACTTTTGTAACTTGAAGATGTTGGGTTTTCTCTAATGGGAAAGATTGTTTAAAAAAAAAAAAAGATTCAAAAGACTGATGCAAATGAAACAAAAAAGTATAAAATTTAAAACATCTTTATACCAACTCCAGTCAAAATACAAAGTTTTTAACATAAAGATGTGTCAGTCTTGGGGTTACCACAAATAAAGCAGGTATTTATTTTGAATATACAAAACCCAGATTTTTAAATAGCAACTGCAAAGAATAAACAAGTTCAAGTCTGACATTGGGTGGGCTGCAATATATTTTCTAAATCAATGACCTTAAATATCAATAAAAACATAGTGGAACTGGTTTTGCATCTACAAGTGATTTATGCCCTTAAAGAAACAGAGCCTGGTAAAAATGAAATGACACAAATAACACTGTCCTAAAAATGTGTTGCTGTTAACAAAACAATTACAAATATTACTATAGAAATACGCAGGCTTCACATTATGAAAACTCACCCAACAATCAGAGGAAATGAAAGAAAAAAATGCTTGTCAATATAAATTATTAATGTTCAAATAAAAACCAATATAGTATAAAATTTAATTGTATTGTTTTTTGTTTCTTTTTTCTTCAGAGAAGTTGAAATCATCTCAAATTTGATTTTTTTTCTTCCCTCTGGGATGTGTTCTCTGAAGATTTGGTGTTTAAATAAAAGGTGGGGTTTAACATCTGGTTTGATTGGTTTTCTGAAACTCATCAACAAGAACGGTAGGTGTAGATAAACACAGCAATGACACCTGACCACAAACAAAAACAACACAAAACGTATGACACACAAACACCACAACCATGTCTTTGAATAAACAATGCAGATCTTAACATCTAATGAAGCTATAATAACAATTTTCTGTTAATGCTTTGGGGGAAAATGGGCATAAAAGTAAACCTGCCAGGGAAGTCCCAAAATCCGATCAGAAGAACTTGCAGCCAGAGCAAGAGGCGCACAATACCACATCCTAATTGCTTCTTGAAGCAAAGAAGGTCAACTGCATCTCCATGAAGAGAACTTTTCACATTTAGCAACACATTCATTTACAATACATTTCATAAATAAGGCACCTGGTTCACAACGTCACATATTCACAATGTTGTGATTGGAAGACTGGCTGGAGACACAAACTGCCAACTTACCATACGTGAAACTTTGATTCAAAGCTCCCTCCCGCTCCAAAAAATTAATGTAGAACATGCCATCATCTAAAACTATAAATATATACAAAAAAGAAAAGACAGACTGTAGAAGCACAAGAGTGAGGATGAATTCCATATAAGCTTGATGCTTATGATCTGACCTTCTAAAATGGAGGTTTGTCAGACATTTGTTATCTCCAGCCATTTTCATAGAGTGCAGAAACACAAAGTAACTACATTTGTCAGACATCTTTCAGGACTTCTCTGTAGTTCCTGAACACAGGAAAAAAACAGTTCAGGAATTACGGCACCATGTTTGCGTTTTCACCATCAAGCTTTACAAAAGCATGGACGAATTTCAAAATTCTGCTCCTTCTGAGAGGAGAATTATCCAGAGAGTTTGGGGCGAGTACAAAATAGATATTTTTGGTCCTAGTAAAATAAAATTAACAAAATTCCTCTAGATAAAGAATTTCTCTCCAAAAAGGTCCATTTTATTTTGTCCTGGTGCGCTTTGCAGGGGTCTCTTGGAGTTCCTGGGCTCTCTTGGTGGCAACCTTAGTTCCACTGCGCGGCAGTGACGATGCCTGACTCCTCTTCAAAGCTCCACTTCTTGTTAGCTTAGGTCCATCTACTTCAGTGGCCGCTTTAAGAGATTCTGCCAGTGATGCCTTTTTGGCTCTCTTTGAAGGATTGCCAAGACTCCCACTCAAAGGGGTCGCTGCCTCCATTTTTCTCTGGGACCTCGTTTGTACCTGGTCAGAGGAGCCTGAAGCCTTTACGTCAACGCCCTGCTGTGGCGTTTCAGCAGCAATCTCTTTACCCTTGCTTTCCACAATTGTGCTGTGAGCAGATTCCTTAGTTTGAGGTTTTTTCTTATTTACTTCACGTTCTACTTCGTTCATTTTTTTGCTGCTGATCTTGCTCTTTGATGTGTCGACAGGCTGATACTCAGGTACTTTAGGGGACCCAAGTCGTTGCGAACATCTCTTTGGTAGTTTTGTCTTGCTTTTGTCTTTTGAAGCTTTGTTGGCCTGAGTCTTGACAGCCCTTTTTGGAAGAGAGGGCTTTGTTGCCTTACTCACAGTCAAAATCTTCCTTCTTGCCAGTTTTGCAGCAGACTCTTTGATTTTTTTGCTGACAGGTACAGTAGATTTCTTCACCTTTAAATGTGAGTTTAGATTTGATTTAGCAGATGACTTCGTAACAACCACTGATTTCTTGTTTTTTAGCATTTTTGAACCCCTTTTCATTCCAACAGTGCTTTGCTGACCTTGCATCTTCCCTCGAATATTGGAGTATTTCCTCAGGATTCTTGCACTAGCTGGATTCTTAGATTTTCCAGAAGGTTTTTGTGATTCACCTTTTTGGGCACTGGCTTTGGTAGCAGAGTATTTACTCAAATTTTGAGTACCGCTAGGAAATTCTGCTCTCTTGAGTGTGTTTGCCTCTTGTTCAAGTGCTTTAGCAATAAGTTTCTGACTTCTGGGGTTGCTTTTTACAGGAGAAGCAATGGCAAATTTTTTCAAATGTTTCTTTAAGCGTTCTGCTTGAAGGCTTGGAAATGCGTCCTGTGCGGACCCTGACCCAGTCGATGAGCTGTGGAAGCACAGCTGAGTTTCGGATGGAAGACGT